CTTTCTCATTGTTGTAATTACTTTTTAATATTTATGGCTTTATTGTATTGGTTGGGACCAAATATAGGTGGTGATCATAGTGATGGTTGAAATCCCTTTCTTGTATTGATTTTAAAGGAAATACTTTTTTTTTTTTTTGTATTGGGGATTGAACCCAGGGACACTTTACATCTGAGGCACAACCAGCCCTTTTAAAAATTTTTGAGATAGGGTCTCACTCACGAAGTTGCTGAGGATCTCCCTAAGTTTCTGAGACTAGCCTTGTACTTGGTATCCCCCTGCCCCAGCCTCCTGAGTTGCTGGGATTACAGGCACTTGCTACCACACCTGGCTTAAAGGAAATACTTTTAATATTGAAATGTTAAGTAGAATATTTTCTGTAGTTTCTGGTGGCTATTTTTTATGAGGTTAAGAATTTTTTTTCATGATGTCTAACTTGCTAAGGAACTTACAAAAATTTTTTAAGTCAATTATGCTAGGACATAATGCCTGGACAGGATACCCCCCCACCTTTTTTTTTTTTTTAAACTAATGATTCAAGATTGGATAAGGATCTCTTAAAAGCAAATATAGAAATATAACATAAAAGTGCTGATCACTACATTAGAATGCTGTGAAAATCAACAGAAACAACAATAACAGAGTGACCAGGGGCCATTAAAACTGAGCACTTGTTTCAGTAGCTCCCCCTGGGGTTGAACTCGGGGCCTCACAAAGGCAGACAACACTCTGCCACTGAGCTAGGTCACCTGCCCTAATCCAGTGTCTTTCACAGGAGTAGTGAAGACTTCTGAGAAGTGTAGAGGTGGGATCAAGTGCCCCTGGATTTCTGTAGATCTTGTTCTCTGTAGTGATTACCTCACKGGGATAGCTAGAACATGAACACTAGCAATGCCCTACAAGTGCTCTTTACACCCAATTTTGCCCAGAGTGAAAAAGGCCTTCCAGGTTTCTCAAATGAAGAATCTTCTAGGCCTTCTATTCTATTTAGCTTGAGAAAGGACTATCTGTGATCAACATATGCCTGCTTAAAGTAGTAAAGAAAGTTTCTTTCCAAGGAGAGAGTTTGGGTCCCACATGACTTCCCTTCAAAATGGGTTTGTTCACTTAGTGTGTGAAATCCACCATCTTTGCCACCATTTGGAAGAGGAAGTGAACAGAATTGAGTCCAGGTAGGAGAAGCCCATTCCTGCAATTTTGGATGAAGGGGAATGCCTTTAGGTCTTCCAAAAACCACTCTTTGGATTTATACAAAATATTTATCTCCACAAAAGTTTGGTTGGAAATGCAGGTTAATTTCAAACTTGTTTTTTGTAGTATTTATAGGTGTTCCAAAATGTTAAGAGCAAAAATATATGAGCTCTGAATCCTACAAACTTGGAGTGGCATTCACAAGGACAGATATATTGAAATGGTTGAACTTTAAAGATATGTGACAGCAGAGGCTGAATAGATTTGCGTAAGCTATTCTTGGAGGTACACATTTTTTTGGAAAGGGTTGGTGATTGACRGTTCTCTTGCTTTATAACTTTTCCACGAGAAGAAAGTCAAGTTTTTTGCACTCTTAGCATTCACAGCTAATATTTCTTGTACTTAAAGAAATGCAARAATGTAAACTACTTAACCAAGGGGAAATGTTTTATTTAAGAGTTACATCCATTTTAATGTTTACAAGAAAATCCCAACTAACGGTGACTGTTGAGGTCCCGAATGTGCACAAKTAATTGAACTTCTTTGAATAGAGCTTTGCTTAGAGCTCTAGAGTGACAGATAAAATCTTGTTATCTGCTGATGTTACACTGTGAAATGGCTCTTAAAAGTAGTTAAAGGAGATGCTGTACAAAATTAAAATGTCTGAAGTTAAGTAGCAAGGGAAGAAGCTATATAACTTGCTGACCATTTGCAATGTTGAGGACAAAGGAGAGACATCCAAGATGACATCTGGTGGGACTTCTGATTTATTTAGCTATGATTTACTTCRGGATGGGGGTGCAGGGGTTCCAGTGAACACAACACAACTTCGGTCAGAAGGAAAACCATCTGTTCTGCACATACCAACTCTATACCCTTTTATCAAGCCTTCGGTGACTGTGAACTTGACCTTGTTTACAATGTGCACATGGGCAAAGTGTTATTCTGATTGTTTTCTATCTAAGTGATATGCCATAAATCACAGATTTATCTGAAGACAGAAAATGGGATTTAGTGATGAACAATTGTGGGTCTCAGACTCTGGCTCACTGTGAGCAGCAAGTAAATGATCTTATTCCTTTYGTTGGTAATTCATTTCTTTATTTAACTTCATACACCGGAACACTACTCAAGGTATTTAAAGTGACTTCATAAGAAAAATGATTGGTCATGTAAGCAATATGTGGAATTTCAAAATTTGTACCATAGACAAAACAGTTTTTTCACTTCTAGTACTTACCTTCCTGGTTTTGTTACACTTAAATATAACCAGGACTTATTCTGATGTAAGGAGTAAGGTAGGGGCTCAAGGTTTTGTTTTTCTTTCTAAGTTGCTAGCTGATTATCTCAAAAACATATATTAAGAATGTCATTTAAATGCCCTTCAATAGATGAATGGATAAAGAGACTGTGGTACATATACACCACGGAATATTACTCAGCATTAAAAGAGAACAAAATGATGGCATTTGCAGGTAAATGGATAGAGCTGGAGAATATCAGGCTAAGTGAAGTAAGCCAGTCCCCCAAAACCAATGTTTCCTCTGATAAGTAGATGCTGATCTGTAATTGGGGGGGCAGGCATGGGAAGAATGGAGGAACTTTGGATTGGCAAAGGGGAGTGGGGGAAGGTAGAAGGCGGKGGGGGGTGGCGGGTAGGAAAGATGGTGGAATGAGATGGACATCATTACCCTAGGTACATGTATGATTGCACATATGGTGTGACTCTACATCAGTGCAACCAGAGAAACAAAAAGTTGTGCTCCATTTATGTACAATGAATTGAAATGCATTCTGCTGTCATGTATAACTAATTAGAACAAATTTTTAAAAAGGATGTCAATTAAAAATGTGCACATGCCCAAAGATTATTAAAGTGAATATTAATGAAATTTTGGAAAAAATTATGGCATGACTTTCTATTTACAGATGGTTTTATTCCAATTAAGATAAATTCAATGCTTATAATAAATAAATTCAGGAGCTAGTAAGAAATGTTCTTCTCTCTATGAAAAATTTGAATGGAGGAGCTGAAATGAAGCTGTTAAGAGGAATACAGTTAAGTTGTATCATAAATGCAGAAACAATAAAAATATTTTAAGTATTTTCTACAGCATTATCTATAATGCGATCTGGTTTCTTGGACAGCTACAAATCTCTGGACTCTGTCAGTAGAATCATAGTTACCTTCCTGGTTTGGCCACCAAACATAATCCTAACAGACAGAGTACATTGTTTTTTTTTAATTTATTTTTTTTTGTTCTAATTTGTTATACATGACAGCAGAATGCATTTCAGTTCATAGYACACAAATGGAGCACAATTTTTCATTTCTTTGGTTGTATACAAAGTAGAGTCACACCATTCGAATCTTCATACATGTACCTAGGGTAATGATGCTCATCTCATTCCACCACCTTTCCTACCCGCATCCCTACTCCTTTCCCCTTCCTCCCCATTGCTCTGTCTAAAGTTCYTCCATTCCTCCCGTGCTCCCCTCCCATCCCCATTATGGATCAGCATACACTTATCAAAGAAAACATTCAATCTTTGGTTTTTTGGGATTGGCTTACTTAGCATCATATTATCCAGTTCCATCTATTTACATACAAATGCCATAATTTTGTTTTATTTTAATGCAGAGTGATATGCCATTGAGGCACAGTATATTTTTTGTCCATATTTCTGTTCTCACTTTTTTACTTTATTGTTTCATTTAGTAAGGATCACTTTTTTAATTTGAAAATCATTATCATAGATAAAAATTTTTTTAAAAAAATATATATTTTTTTAGTTTTAGATGAACACAATACCTTTATTTATTTTTATGTGGTGCTGAGGATTGAATCCCGTGCCTACCTCTGAGTTACGACCCCAGCCCAAATAAAGAATATTTTAAATGTTGAAAGAAATGACAGTAATCAAAATAGTTGAGTTTCGTGAAGGGTATAAAATAATTTGAGAAATGTAATTTAATGTACCAACTGACAATTATTTTATTACAATGGGCTGCATTTTATTTTTATAACACACAACCAGCAAAAGAATTGATTTTAGGAATTTATTTTTATTTTTTTTTTACAAAAGCARTTTCCAGCAGGGTTTGTCACTATACAAATTCAGCCCAGTCTCCTACAGCACGGTACAGTGATAACTTTTTCTAAAAAATTTTTATAACAAAGACATTGAATATCCATAACTGAATTATCACAGAAAAAGAAAGAGAAGAGTTTAATGTTAAGTGTATTTAAAAACTCATATTCTAATTCTTTTAAATTGGTTATCCAAGTATGATAATATAGCAGAGCTCAGATAACTAGGAAAGGCAATTGACTAGAACACTCCATTCCCACCTCATGTGCATTAATAGGCTTTTTGCTTTCTATATCTTTATATAGTTTGCAAACTAATTCAACCCATTTTACACAGCATTAATTTTTTTTAATTGAATTGGCACTGGACCGAAACCGTTGCTTATTATCTCATAATTATTATTTTTTTTTGATGGATTATCCCCCATCTGATAAACTGCTTGCAACCTAGTATATACATGACAATTCAAGATCATCTCTGCTCATTCTAATCACATTTACAATGAGGTTACCCAAGGCTAGATATCCAAGACTATTAATTAATTTATCCACCAACCCTGCTCTTGATCTTGGTAAAAGAGAGACCTTGGGTCTCACTGAAGTGTGTTACCCAGTTCCAGGCAAGAAACTACCATTTGGATGTCAATAGGAGGAACCACACTTCTTAGCAAGCTTCTTACGAATGCTGTGCAAACAAGGGTCTCGTCGTTTCGGTAACTGTTTGTACATTTATAAAAGCAATACAGTCATGGGAAAAACCAACAAGCACAGCTTGGTAGAAAAACCTGCCATGAAATATCATTGGCTTTATAATAATTTACTACAACTGTTCTTTTTATTCACAATGGATAGGAAAAAATGCTTCCATCTAACACATGGAATACGAATATATACAACAACAAAAATTTGGCTTTTACATAAAAAAGAAAACATTGTAAGGACAATAACACGGGGCTTGAAACAATAATTTTGTGCAGTTTCCTGATCACAATCATAAGTCTCTTGTCTTTCACAGGGAATGACACAGAACTGATAGATTTTTTTTTTTTTTTTTTTTTGTTAAACCAGTTGAAGAATTTTCCTGCCTGTAACAGCCTACTACAAGAGTATTACCTTGTTCATACAGTGTATAGAAATTTCTCCTTCTTAACTGTAATTCTGAATGACTAGGGATGATTTGATGGGTCAGTTTTCAGAACAAACCCTGCTAATCCTTTATGAAAATCATCATGTATTGGCAGTTCCCTATTTCATCAAAACAGTGTCGCCACAACCTCTTGGAAACTGCACGGGGGYATCTGGCGGATGCTGTTGAGATCCTGAAAATCGCCTTCTCACCTGAGGCCCGCCATCTTGAGGCACAACAAGGTTAGCTACTTGGCTTGAACTTTCTGGAGGCCTCGTGAGTCATGCGGTAGTGGTGTGGGGGTGGGCTGTTTTTTACTGCCAGCAGTCAAAACAGCTGCCTTGGGCTCAAAATCTTTTATGCTGTGAGCCCAGGGAATCCATTCGTCTAAGGAATGGTTTTTCTGGGGCCCAGTCATGTCACTGCAGGTGGCTGAGACATTCTGACCCTTGTTTCTTGAGGGACTACACTAAAAGAGGAAGCCTTGTGTTCTAAAAATAGACAATGCAGTAGGGTTGGATGAGGGGGAGAAGGTTTGCTTTCCTAAGTCTTGAAGACCACCTCTGAAGTGGCAGCCATGGGTCAGGGCTTGAGGTACAGCTTGGAGGTGCCAGTTTGGTGTTGGCACTACACCTTCACTCTCCTAGGTTTACTTTTCCTGACTGTACCTTTTATGCTGGTGGGCTTCCGGTTCCCCCAACAATCCCTATGTGTTCTGGCTTTCTATGGTAGGAATGCAATAGGGTTTATCACTCTCAGTTCTGACTAGTGAGTGGCAGGTCTTCTGAGTGGTGACTTGAGAAGGATTGTGAAGAAGTCATTACATTGAATGGGCAATTGCTGTGATCAGCAGAACTGGTGTTGACGGAATGCATGCCCTGGCCCAACGCCTCTGTTCTATGCTAGGTGAGGGAATGAGGCTGGCTTAATGAGCTCTCCAGGGATCTTTGGAGACCACAGCCCAATGCACTAATTGCCTATTTTCTGTTTTGTTCCAGAGAAATTTTAAGAATATGAGGGAGTTGGGACAAACGTTTAGGACCTGTGGAAAGCTGGAGGGGGAGATCCTTTTGAGCAGGTCTTTGACAATGACCTATTTTTACCTGTGGGTGATACAACTCAATGTTTAGCAAGTGACTACAAGGGTTACTGATTAAGAAGATTCAGAAAGACTTGGAGACATGGGTGGGTCCCAGGCATGGTGGGTACTTTAGGCAGAGCATTTCTATGTTGCATACCTGTGTAGTTCCCTTTGCTGAACACCGATGTTATCTGTGAGCATATTGAAAAGCCAAGGAGAAATAGATTTGCATCTACACACATCTTATTTTGAGAACCTGGGAATAATTTCCTTATGTCAGGATTGTGGTCTCTTAGCTCTACCTTGACATCTCTTTATCAAGAAAGAAAAAGTAAAAACCAAAACCAAAACTAAAACCCAAAACCAGTGATATCATGTGGTAGGTGCTCATGATGCTGTTTTGGAAGATCTAACTCATTTGTCTCGGGAAAATAGGTTCAATCACTTCATCCTATCTCTAGTGATTTAAACCAAAGCCAAAGCTTGATTTTCAACATGAGTCATTAACAGGTGGCTCTGCCACAGTCTGTTGATTTAGGGGATCACATCTGGCCAAAGCCACCCACCTCTAGCTACTGATGGCCTGTGGGTTTTAGAAACTGTTTGATGCTCCCATTGATACTCCCCTGCCTACACACACGACTGATTTCACTTACTCATCAACATGGCAACATTCCCTTTCCCATCTGAAAACACCTGCTTCCTTCCTCACCTGGAAACTGGGAGAAGCTGAAAGGAGAACAAGGCCTATGTCTTTATACATCTGTAAATCCCAGGAGAACATCCTTTTGGGTACCTGTCTGATGTTGAGTTTCTGGTCACCCCGGGGACTCCATGTGTTTCCCACGTTGCAGGCAAAGGTCTCCACCTTCCGGGGCGGTGCACAGGGGTGAGGATTCCTTGGTTCCTAGGCCAAGGATTCGGGGTCAAGTCACTGAGGTGGAGTGGAAGAAGGAGGGTGGCATTGAGAAACCCAGCAGTGTCTTTTCTTATCTGTCTCTGCATTTTGCTCAGCATTTTCTTTCTGTTCTCCGTGAGACACTATCCTGCTGAGAGCATCTTGGCAGTTTCACTGCCTCTGGAACCTTCGAGAGGCCATGGGTGGCTGGCTATAAATGTGGCTGCAGTTGCAACATCATTGTATTCAGGCAATTCAATGTTTCTGTTTCTTTTTCCGCTGATCACAATTGTCAGTATATTGGCATCACCAACCAATTTTTAAAGTGTGTGAGCATCAGTGGGCTTAATTACCACTATCTCCTCTAGCTGGAGAGACTTGTTCTCACAGCACAGAGGAGCCTCCTCCCCGAAGTTTCTGAGACAGCCCAGAGCATGGACTTTGGGTTCTAGACCGAAGGCCTTGGAGGAGGTCGGGAGGGGGGTGGTGCCCTGTTGGGAGGAGGAGCCTGAGGAGGGGGTGGGAGGGTGGAAGGGGGGGAGGGGATGGGAGGTGTGGGGGCACTGGGGGGAGGGGGAGGGCAGTGGGGAGCAGGGGGTGGGGGCGTGTAGATGGGGGCAGGGGGTGGGGAGGTGTTGTGGTAGGCGTTGTTGAGGGGGTACTTGGCTGGCTGGTTGTTCTTGACTCTGGTGAAGTTGATACAGCGTCCCTAGAAGAGAATCAGAGACAGATGTGTGAGCTGATGGCTGTTCAACAGGGCAGGTGGGGAGGCGGCTTGAAATAAGTATGACAATAGAAAGGAGCCATGTTGCCAGTGAGGGCGCTCCACTGGCATATGGTGACATTATGACAAGGTAGTCCCCCCTAACCCCAGTTCCTTAGACTGTGTTGCAAAATTATTTGTTAAAATTCATTTTTTCCTGGATTCTTTAATTCTCTCAAGGTAGTGGTGGGGAGGAGGGGAGAAGGACTGACCTTAATGGACGCAGTGGGTCAAGCTGTGTATAGAGGTCACTGTAGTTAATCTCAACAGCCTTGCCAGCCACATGTTATGACCAAGTGTCCCATTTCATAGATGAGGAAGCTGAGGCTCAGAAAAGTCAGACCCCATTGCCAAGGTCACACAACCCAGAATAGACTTCAGAACCTTCATTCACCCTGCTATATGATGTTGGCTTCTGAGAACAGGGCCCCAAATTTTATAAACCAAAAAAAAAATTCTAATCACACTCCTGGAGGCAGGAGAAGGTTCCAATGGAGTATTACTCAGCCATAAAGAAGAATGACTTTATGACATTTGCCAGTAAATGGATGGATCTGGAGACTATCATGCTAAGTCAAATAAGCCAGCCCACAAAGACTAACGGTGGAATGTTCTTTCTGATATGTGGACGCTAACCCACAATAAGGGAGGGGTAGAATAGAAGTTCAGTGGATTAGACAAAGGGGAATGAGGGGAAGAGAGGGGGGAGAGGAAAAGGAAAGACAATGGAATGAATCTGACCTAACTTTTTTCCTATGTTCATATATGAATACRCYATAGTGAATCTCACTATCGTGTACATCCATAAGACTGGGGTCCTAATTAGAATAAGAYACATTCTGTGCTTGCATAAATGTACCAAAATGGACTCTATTATCATGTATAAGTAAAAAAAATACAATTAAAAAAACATTCAAAGTCTAAAGCCACCCCCAAGTAGCCCTGTCTTCCAGGGGTGTCACCTCTCTACCCTCCCTCACCATGGATTCAGATTCTTCTGCCCAAGGTTGGTTCTGTGATCATGCTTCCCTTTTAGGGTGCAATCCACCTTCACTTTCCCCCAAGACTCTTTCCTCCTTGCAGGAACAGGTGTAGCTCMTATGAACTCCGGGCCTCTCCTGGCTTCTCACGCTTATGGGAAATCAAACTGTTGTTTCTACTGTGTGTCCTGGATGCTGTCAGAGTCCCTCCCATGGGGACCAGTTGGGTCACAGCTCTCTGAGACAGCGCTTCCCCTCTCTCCTTGTCCTGCTCATTTCAAGTTCATTACTGTGATGGACTATGTCAGAGGCCTGGGACTGTTCCTGGTCTTGTCCGCTAGATGGATGCTCATCCTATGGTGTTGGACCCTGAATTGGGGCATGTCCAGAGAGCTCAGAGGTTCCCTTTTAGACCTTTGGGGAAGGACCTGAAGGAGAGGGAGGCTACAGAACTGAAGGAACAGTTGGCTCTAGGACTAGAGGGACAGGTGGGTGTGTCATTTGACACTTGGCTCACGGACATGCTGCATGCTTGTGGGAAATGACAGGGCTGAGCAAACCCTCCCTCACCTGTGCCCCCCCTCCCCACTCATCCTGAAAAGTCCCTTGTTCTCCACACTCTTCCCCCTGATAACTTCAGCTTCCACTGACCCTTTGCTCCTCTAAGTTCTTCTCCAGTTATCATCTAGACCAACTTTGGGGGTGTGGACACTCCAGATGTTTTATCTGTAAATGTCTTGCCTCCCTGGCCAGGTGGGAAACTTCCACAAGGGAGTGGCCTTGTTTTGGACTTTGGACTTTGATGCTCCACAACCCAAAGCTTCATGGGCTGCTTGCTCTTCATGGTAGGGAGACTCGGTCAAAATGGAGTTGTTGCAAGAGACTAGGGCAAAGCAGGGGTTTGGGCAGCATTAGCAATAAGCTAACATTCCTTTTCAAGACCGGGCATTAGCCAGTGAACCTTGGTGAGGAAAGACCAAGCTTGACTGGGCTTGGTTTGGAAATTACAAATTGGTTTGGGAATTACAAGTCCCTGTGTAGCTGTCTGCACCCCGTTTCCTCTGAGTTTGCAATTCATAAAATTAGGCCAGGGCCTCACATTTTGGGGTTCTGCTTGGGGGTCCACTAACTGCAGAAGTAAGTTGTTGTCATCTTCTCACTATCTCACCCAGTATTCCAGCTCAGGTTCAACTTTTTCAGGCTTTACATTGGTTTTGTAACTGAGGAGTATAAATTCCCTGCCGTCCAAGCAGCCGTCTTTTATAGCTTCATAAATCCAAGCCATGGTTGGAGTCTATTTATGATGCAGGATAAGCTCTTTCCTTCAAGATGTTATAGCCTGATGGTTACCATCTGTGATAAATTCCTGTCATGACAACTCATAGTGGGGATTTACTGTACTACCTATTCTGCCCTTCATTCCTAGACATCAAACTCCTACCAAGAGCCTCAGAGAGATTCATTTCCTTTAAGGATGAAGGGAAATTCTGAGTCTGGGGAAAGAACTGCTGGTACCTGGGCTCAGGTCCCCATCTGGCTGCAGATCTCCTTTGAAGCTGGTCTCTGGGCTGGGCAAGCAAGGAGATAAGAGATCTGGAAGCCCACTTACTGGTTCCATCCAGTTGTGACCCTACCATTTTTACCAGAGGCTGTTCTGCCCATAGACAGATCAGGAGTCTATAAGCCATATTAGGATCCCCCAAATGATTCACCATCTGAAGATGGAACAACAGAGGGTTATGGGAATTGGGGCGCAGGAAAGGCCAGGAGGCGCCCTTCCTATACCCTGGAGGTACACCCACAGGTCTCCTGCACCAGAGCACTGGTATCTGGTTATTATGGACCCGAGGACAAAAATAACTGAATATAAAAGCCCAGAACCCCCATGAACAGACAGGGGGTGGGTGGAGGCAAGCTCACAGCCTTGTCTCCCACCCTTGGTGGGACTCCCCACAGTGTGACGTGGGTGGGGATCATCACACCACCTGCCACTTGCAGACATTCTGAGAGTTCCCTTAATCACTGCTGGTGAAGGGTCTGGAACAGTGCCCTGCACCTCATGCCCTGCTCAGACACAATAATGACTTTGTCTACAGTAGGCAGCCGGTTGGAAGTCCTGTCAAGTGTTCTGATTCCTGGACTCAGCAGATGCACCCCTGGGGCAATATAGCACTTTATGAGTGAACTATCATGTCTACACCCTGCACCTGGCTTCTATAATAAAATTGGTAATGGGGTGGGGGAATGTAGCATGGGGACGTGACTGAAGCAGCTTCTGATGCTCCCCTTTTCCTCTCCCATTGTTATATAACTCCTGTAACTTATGTCCTATAGGACCTCCTACGGTGGTTTGCAAATACAGTTGAAAGGATGATATATTTCCATGTATTTATCTTCCTGAGAAAAGGTGCAGACTCAGCAGATGCATGGAGGGGGGGGTAGGGTGAGGGGGTAGGGGGGGCAATTTACAGTAAGACACAAGGTCTCCATAAGAAGGGTGTGGCTACAAATTAAGTTCTTAAAACCTGGTGCCAGAGGCGCCAACACAAACGCTGTAACACTTAGACCATATAATTGGCCTAAAGATCAGTTTACACGACATCATTTTTTGCTTGTGAGAGGATAATAGAAAGGCCAGATGTTCTCGATGTCATATATGCCAGCAAATCTGCACCAGTGTTTGGTTAAAAGGTTGCTAGGATGATTGGAGCTCTCTCTTCACAACATTGGTCTTTGGAACCCAGTTAACAGTACTGTTTTTGGGTGGTTTGATTCAGATCCAAGATTCGGCTCTGACCTCAGTTTACCTTGCCTTCCTCATTTAAAAAGCATGAATGTTGATTATTTTCACACATTAGCAATAAAATACTCTGAAAAAATTCTAAGAAGAAAATGCAGTATCTCTTAAGAGATCAGGAGGATTATTAGAAATGCCCAGATACACCATCTTCTTTATTATCAAAACCGTATGTGCTGAGAATCCTCATCTTGATTGTACAGAAGGAAACAGGTCTCATACCCATTTAARTAACTTGCCAAAGACTACACAGTCAGGAAGAGATTGAGTGGGATTAAAACTTAATTCTACTTGCCTTAGGAATTCATCTCCTTTTTAACTGTATTAACCTGGATATTGATGATAAGATATTGCCAATAATTTCTTGAAGGACTTGTAGCTATCATCCCACAATATAGCACTTAGCCACAATCAATCAGCTCTTGACACAGTTGTCGAGAGAAATTTCCAGAATGTAAGTCTGTAAATTACTCTCTAGCTCAAAATTCTTCAATGGCTTTCCTAACGCCTTTAATTTTTTTTTAATTTTTAATTTTTTAAAATTTATTTTAATTAGTTACATATGACAGTACAATGATCTTGACATATCATACATTTGAATCAAATAGGGTATAATTTCTCATTATTCTGAGTGTACAGGTTGCAGTATGACCAATGTGATCCTAATGCCTTTAAAATAAAATGCAAACACCTCCAATAGCATGTGTAACCCTCTTGTGATCTGGTCCTTGCTTACAGCTTTCAGGTAATTTCTTATTCTTTTCCTGCAGGGAGTCTAGCCAGGCCCATCCTAAACCATCCATAAATACTTGTTCAATGAAAGAATGTTAACATGGCACTTGGTATTGTTCTTTGTTTATCACTGTCTGTGGTTGGTGAACATCTCTGAGGCATGCTCCAAGGTCTCCTCTTGAACCTAGTGCTGCTATAAACATTGCAAAGTTCAAGTTGGCACTCAACAAACGATACTCCCAGACCCGCAGGTCTCTGAGTTGGAGCAAGATTTCTTAGAAAGTTCAGATTTCCTCTGTAAATTTACGTTCTCAAAATTTCAAGGGTCCATTAACCCGATTATGAGTTTAAGGATCCTTATGTTACCTCCCAGTGTCCTCTTTGACCATCTAGGCTCTTAATGGAGGAGCATCAAGGATCCTAGATGCTCCCTTTGT